CACTTTCCTATCAGAAAAGATACTGTTGAAGAAAATCCAAGCACTTTTACTGTCCTAAAACTTGATGACAGACACAAAAACAAAAAAAAATAAAAAAAAATGTGGGCAAGTGGGTGTCGCTCTGCTGTACAGTAGGTTACAAGTGGGTCACTGTATAATGGATGATATTAAATTTGAATTCAACGATATAATATCATTGTATAAGAAAAACGATTCTGAGGGGAGACGGTATGTCAGTCTAGGTATAAGACATATTATATACATTACTATGATATTAAACAAAAAATTGACTTATAATAAATTCCAAATTAATCATATCCATAGGCGTGCGCACGGGAGGGGCAGGGTGGGCAGCTGCCCCTCCTGCGGGCTCAAGTTTTCTTACAAAATAACAAAGTTTTTAAAAAAATATTATAATACAGTTTTATATAATGAATATTATGTAAACATTGAGTGCTCGATGTACAGTGCACGATGATTTTATGTTGTCCAACTTTAAGCGAACCACAAGCGATACCGCGGTGATAACGAGTGCTTATAATCTTATTATAGCATGATGTAGATTGAGATGTGATGAGACATGAAAGTGAGTAGTAATTTGACGGCATTTAATGCGAAAAACGTTCACCGGAAGCGCTAAGAAGGTCGGTTCTTTAAATAATTAGTAATTAATAATTATAATAATTAGTATGCAGTATACGAACAAATATTATAGCTCTTTACTTCCGAAGCAATTTTCGGAATTTTTAGTATTTTAGTATTTTTATGCTCAACGTGTTGATTAAATCAGAATATACCTATCTTTTTTTTTAATGTGGTGTTTTATATTGAAATTAATTTTCTATTTATACTGTAACCTACAAATCAAATTGTTTATTATATACCTAATACTATTAAATACCTATAAAGTATAATTTATAAAACAGTTTAAATAATAGGTTACATGCCTACAATAATGTATAAATTTCAATATTACCAAAGAATAGAATATTATTGATACATTAATGCATGATATAATAGTGGTACTATTTTTGGAAAAATCATACTAAGGATTTACATTTTTTTTTAAATGTTGATATTTATATGTTCAACGTGTTGGTGCAAATAATAATTGTAATTAAATATTTAATTGTAATTGTAAATAAATAGTAAGTAGAATTAGTAAATTCAGATTTCACCAACACATCGGGCATAAAAATATATATGAATGCAGTGGCGGATCCAGGGCTTAATTTTGGGAGGGGCATGGGGGGCTCAAAAGTATATGAAAGTTCCAAAATTGGCTAAACACAGTGTAAAACAAAGGAAAACTACGGTTATTGGGGGGGGGGGCAAATGCCCCCTTTTCCATCCCCCTGGATCCACCACTGTATGAATGTAATAATTTTCTTTGTTCATGTATATTAATATAATATAAAAAAACTTTGGAGTTTCAATTACTATATTAAATTTGTAGTTATTTGTAGTTTTAATGATACATAAAATGAAAATACTTCCATCACTTACATTAATTGAACTAATAACCAAAATAATATTTACTTACCTATATATTATATAATATACCTATACGTACATTATTACATTCTGCCCCCCCTGCCAGCAAGGTCTGCGCACGCCTATGATCATATCACAATATCCATTAGGTTCTTATAACGCGTTATACATCAACAAAAACCGTGATACTATCATAGATATGTAATACACTTATATATATATATATAATGTATATAATGTAGGTACACTTTAGAAGTTTCAAGTACCCACGAATAATATTATTCAATCATAACAAAATAACTAAAATAGTTATTCTAGGTTTTTGAATATGTAATTTAAAAATTTAAAATGTCTGTAAAAAATAACTGTGTTCATATATTTTTTAGAATTTTTAGTAACAGTATGACCTTTTTATGAGAACCTTTGTTTTAAATTTGCAATCCTTAGCTATAAAAACTGAACACTTTATAATTTATTAATTACAATGATTGATAATTTTCGAGATTTTGATACATTTTGTCAAAATTTCAACTTTAAATGCTTATAAAAAAAAATTACACCTATGTATTTTCAATATTTTTGAACTGATATTGTAACAATATATCAGGAGTCTTGTATTAAATTTTTACACTTTTTGGCAAAACAGAAAAAACTTAATTGATATTTATAGAAAAAAAAACTAAAAAAAATTGAAAACTGAAAATGCCCGTAAACAGCTCAAAAAGAGTCAAAATATTTTTAAAATTGTATGGTATATAGGAAATGCTAATATAAATATTCAGTGAAATTTTCATGTATCTACAGTTATTCGTTTTTGAATTACAACAAAATAAGGAAATCGCTATATGAGAAATCGAGTGAATATCCAATGTTGTAAAAATTTGAATTTCAAACGCTCATAAAAATTTAATTTGACTTTCTTATAGACATTTTTGATAAAGGTAGATAATCTTATAAGGAATCTTGTATTACATTTTCAAATCTTAGATTTAAAAAGAAAAAATTTTAAGAATTCTTAACTCAAAATAATTTGCCAATTTTCGTGATTTTTCCATATTTTGTCAATTTTTGAACTTAAAATGCTTATCAAAAAAAAATTGTGACTAAGGATTTTTAATATTTTTCATCTGCCTTTGAAAAAATATACTAGGAGCCTTCTATTAAATTTTCAAGCTTTCGCAACCAACAAATAAAATTGTATTGATATTTTTAGAAAAAAAAACTAAAAAAAATGGAAAATGAAAATGGCCCGAAACAGTTCAAAACAAATCATAATATTTTGAAAATTTCATCGTGTATAGAAAATGCAAATATAAACAAACAGTGAAAAATTCATGTATATACGTAAATTTGTATTAAAGTTACACCAAAAACCAAAATCGATTTTTTGGAAAACCGATTTTGCGTAAAAATTCCTGTTTTTCCTTAATTTTTATGTTGTTTTACCCGGAGCTTGTGAAAACTACTGGGAAATTTTTAAAAAGTACCAATTAGATTCACTTTCTTACCAGAAAAGCTACTGTTGAAGAAAATCCAAGCACTTTTACTGTCCAAAAACGTGATGACAGACACAAAAAAAAAAAAAAAATAATTTAAAAATTAAAAATTAAAAAAAACACACATCATTGTAAAATCAATACATTCATCGTTTCACTCAGAATCTAAAATGATTTTGTAGTTACAAATTTATAAAATCTTCAACTTTTATACCTAGCTAAGGATTAAAAATGTAAAACAAGGTTCCACATAAATAGGTTATTCTGTAACCAAAAAGTACAAAAACACAGTTATACACAGGCAGCGTCCTCTTAATTATTATCGAGCGTTAAGATTTAAAGTAGTGTCAACCTGGGTAACCTGAAACAATTTTAATATTCTTATGCTAATTCTGAACAGAAAAAAAAATGCAACTTATACCTACCTTATAAAACATTTCAAGAGTAAAAAAAAATTAAAACCTGTTGTTTTAAGTCACTTTAAATTTTAAGTGATTTAAAAACTTTAAAAACATTAATATATTCAATTAAAATAGTTTAATGGTAACTTGAAACAATATATTATTTATTTCATAAAATAAAAATGCAACATTTAATTTTTAATAATTATTTATAACAATACAGTAATAAGCATTTTTACCTAGATATAACAACATGTATACATTTTATATGGTTACATAATTTAATTTATAAATAAAATAAAACATATACCTATTGCAGAATAATAATTAAAGTGAAATAATATACTAAATAATAAAAAAACAAGTACCTAGGTAATTAAAGTATAAAAATAATATTCATCAGTTGCATTGTTACAATTTTTTTTTTTATGTACCTATTATCTAAGTTTCTCAAGTTCCCAGTGGGTAGGTATGTCATCATAATATGAAACTTGAGATTTGTGTATAATAGTATGAAATATCCATGCATGATTTTTTTTGCAGGGGTGTTGGTTAAGCACCCTGCTTAGGGGTTGAGACTTTGTAAACATGAAAGTACAGTGTATGAAACTGTGTACGGTTCATAGATAAATACAACTAGATAGCCGCCTTCATTCTACAGTTGTGAGCAATGTTGAAGAGGCAGTCCATTTATATAGCAGGCAATGTTTACATTCATTTTACATTATTAATTATTTATATCCATATTACAATTAACTTATATATACTGTGATAATTTTTGTTTAGTAAACATTGCCTGCCTTATATATCTATGGTACGGTTATAAAGGATCCATAATATATAATACATATAGCATTTCTTAGCATTATAATGAAGATGTATTGTCCTCATGAAAATATATCAGCGGTCAGAGCAAAATAGATATTTATAACTATATTTTAAATACAGTACAAGTTTAACATGACAAATAGGTAAGTAATAAGTAATAACTATTATTTATTAACAATTTATAATTATATAATTCTTATAAGTATAATTATTAATTATTTTATCACAGATGACACAAAGTGGTGGTCTTATTTAAGAGAAATTTGTGACCAATAAGGGTAATGTTTTCTCATAGAAAATATATAAAAATGCTGACATACAAAACAATTATGATAAAATAAGAATGGTATTGCAATATCTTTAAGGTGCTCATTTTTAGGGTTCTGTACAGTAAAACGGGACCCTATTACTAAGGTTCCGCCATCCGTCCGTCTGTCACCAGGCTGTATCTTATGAACCATGAAAGTTAGAGAGTTGAAATTTTCACAGAATATGTATTCATGTTGCCGCTATAACACTAAAAATCCTAGAATATATAATATAAGCAGTGTTGCCAAAAGGTTTATAGATGATGGTACTGAACACTTTGGGCGAGAGTCCGACTCTCGCACTTGGCCGGTTTTATTTTATGGTATTGGACGTAGACCTATTAACTATTTACTTAACAGGTCTATGGTATTGGACATGATACATTACACAATCGTCCGTTATATGATAACAATATAAATAATATGTTTATGTAAAAAAATTGATTTCCTTAATATTTTGTTTTATAAATTTATCACAATAGTTTCGGATCCAATCCTTCATTGACCATTTTTAATTCAACAGCGCCTCTTGGCACACCAAATTGAATCATTTTACGATATTTTAATATTGTTGGATCCACAGTTGACTCATTAGGACTTTCGTCTACAACAGTAGCAGCTGGTTCTGAAATAATGTCTTCAGTTTTACCATGGCTGTCAGTTGTCTCCGTTTTAATAAGTTCATCGGTTGCCTCTGTTTTATTATGTTCAACGGTTACTTCAGTACTATGTGAATTTTCTTTTGATTGATTGCTGGGAGGTTCACTTGTTTGAAATTGAGAAGACTGCAGTTCTCGTAGTTCAGGGACAGAATTTAACTAAAATTCATATTATCTTATGTATAAATGTGCCATGTAATATTTAGTTAAGTTGTACCTTAGTTTCTAATATACACAGAGATGCTGAAATTTTTTGTAACCGTTGTTCGGATTTCATCATTTTTGCTTCACAGTGTGTCATGAAATTGTTTAAAAATGTTACAGTGGACGTAATGAAATGATTAATATATGTAACTAATTGACGTTGTTCCATTGGAGGAACCTATAACAATAAGGATAAAACAAAATATAATTATTAATCTGGTAAAAAATATTTAATAATATAGGTAGGTACTTACTTTTTTAAGTTCTTCCATTTTTGTTTATTTGAAGAAATAATATTAATGGTAAAAACTAAGAAATTTAGTGTATTATTGTTATTAGATAAAATATAAAAACTATCAAGAGAACGACATAAATTTGATGTTTGGAACTCTCTAATAATATTCGAATCACAGAATAGAAATTTTACCTATTCTGTGGACAAATACCTACTCAAATTTGAAATTTCGATTCTGTTCAATTTCTACAATTAATTTAGTTAAGTGATAAGAAATTTGTATTTAATCAGTGATAATAATTTATATATTTTACTCATAGACATCATGATGGACATTGGACATATTAATTTATGATTTTACTATTTAGCAATGACATTATACCTACATCACGAATTAAGATATACTTACAGGTACCTATCTAAATTCATGATTTACATATTTTATCCCGAGCATTTTTTTTTTTTTTTTACTATCCCTTTCACAGCCTACGCTCTAAACTATATTATTTTGTATTTACTGACCTGTGTTAGATAATATGTAAAATAAAATATTGATTTTTTTCAAATTAAGATTTTGCTTTTTGTTATATATTTTAAAGCGAGTTACATGTTAGTATTATTAAGATGTACAAACAATTTAAAATTTAAAAATACTCATAACTCGCTTAATAATTAAAATTTAATAAATAGCCTATGAAATGCCCTAATAATCTTACCTTTAAATTTCAAGTGGTCAATTCGCTCTTAATTGAGCTCAACATGATGTGCTGAGCGTACAATTTGCAATGTTACACACTTGTGAGATTGATACAACAAATACATCCCACATAGTGTCCTTTTAATACTTACTATCGTCACCGGATCTTCAATTACAAATCTTATTTTCATCTCTCATTAAATTAATATTATTTGTGAAATATTCATGACCTAACATACTAGTAGTAAATTTATCATGTTGCATGATCTACATCTAAACATAAAAGTACTTTTTTATTAACTTAAAGACATGTTATAAGAATAAGACAAAGGTAATCAAACTATGTCACAGAAAAGGAGTAAAAAAAAGATGACCAATTTATTATTAATAAATTACAAAAGTGTCATCAGTCATCAGTGGGTGGCCTCTTCAGTCAGTTTTTTCTTCCTTTTGTATTATAGCCCATACTCTCATTGTGTATATTATTAATAAAAAAAAATTTATTTTATTCTAAATGTTAGGTTGGATTCTAACTAGCTATTTATAATATTAAATGAACGTTATTTTTCAGTAGTGTTTTTAATAATTTAAGCCACGGGTATAGAGCCATAAAATTTAAATTTAAATAACTCAGCTATAAGCGAGGACTAAGATATTCTAGTCCGTTCTAATGTATTAAAAAAAAATCTGCTAATGTTGATATTTTTTCTTATAAAACAGCAACAAAAAACCTAAACATCCACACCATAGTTATACAATTATAAAATGATAATAAACCATTAATTATAACATATTTTTTAAAAAAAGGATCTTCATTTTTATTATCATTAAAAATATTAATTTGAATATTTAAGTAATTGTTTTAAGAATATTGTTAAAACAACAAGTTCTTAAACATGACTATTGCGTACAAAACAATGTCATAACTTGATACATTATTTTGAATATACCAAACTCAAATCAGTGGGAATGCGATAGGAAATAAAACAATATGGAATATTAAAATAATCATTAATTAAGAAATAAAAAAAGCATTTTGCAGTAGCACTTATATATTGGTCTTAAAAGTAACAAAAATATGTTTACAACTTAAAACTGGATCATTTGGCCCTGAAAAATAAAAATAGTTAAATTAACAAAATGAAATATTTAAATTAATAATATTTCTTACCTTTCGTTTCTTGTCACCTCCCAATTCAAAATGCTTGCAACGTTTCAATGGGATTTGTTTACGGTATTTGCATTCGGAACACTCCATCCTTAATACAATCTTTTTGGTTGTTTTAGCCTGGTGAACAATTATTCATATTTAATTTCAACTAAGTGGTTTATTATTGAATAATAATTGTTTATACCTTCTTTCTGAAAATAGGCTTAGTCTGACCACCGAAACCACTCTGTTTACGGTCGTAACGACGACGACCCTGGGAAGCTTGACGTTCCTTAGATTTTTTGTACTGTGTAACCTTGTGTACCTTATGTACCTTGCATTTCTTGCAGTACGTACGTCTCTGTTTAGGTACATTCACCTGAAATCAGAAATTATATTTAACAATAAGATAAAATACAGAAATTGTATTTAAAAACGATAAAAATTAAACAATACAATATTAAAAGCAAAAAGCACAGTAATTCAAGTGCATAGAATTATAACAAAATATATACTTGAAATTATTTTGAGGGATATATAAAAATTATTCCAATAATAAAAATGTAACGGGTTAATAAGGTACTGTGATAGTTAAACAGTGGATTTAAAATATGTCAAATATTTGAATACAAATCAACAAAATAAGTATAATGTTGCGAAAAGAACCAGAAAAACAATTTAATGTTAAGGGTTCTGTGCAAGTTTTCCCAATTTTGCAAAATTCTATTTAATAATTTAGTTACTACCGTAATTATAATACTTTTCCACTAATTTGCAGCTTGATACCTATTAAGGGGGGGTTGATAGGTGTATTAATCAACAAAAATAACTTGTCCGAAAAACTCTAATCGGATTTGCTTAATTTTTTCATTTTATTTTAAACTGTTCTAAAAATTTCTTTTTACTTAAAATGTATATTTCAGCTTCAATAGTCATAATTTTGAAAGTCGGGCTTTGATCCGACCGGCAAAATGTTACTTTTTAAATAAGAAAAATTTATTCTACAGGGCGGGAGTTTTTCCTATAAGAAATGTTTTTGTCCTACAAAATGCACCGGCTCCGACGCCCTATTGCTATCGAATATTTTAATACTATGGAAAAACAATAAGAAATATCCCATTGGACCACATCCGTTAATAAAACAGAATATGAGATCAGTAAAAATACCGAATCGGATGTGTTTAAAATTCTAATATAAGTTATTAAGCATGTGCGTAGGGTTCAAATTAATTCAAGAAGCCAAGTGTAATGGATTTCTGAAATTCATGGTTATAGAAGAGTATCGACTACAACACATAGAAAAGCCACTGGAAAATATCACTAGACATACGTAAAAGTTTAGAAATTATTCAAACTACTCATGTATTAGACACCATACAGCAAACGAATCGTGCATTTTATTTATTATGCTTCAAGATCGAAACGGATGAAAATTTACTTACCATTTTTCCAGTTTGTTAGTAAACGTTCTATTAACACGACGAGTGAACTACAAGAGAATGGCGTTCGACGAGAAGAACAACATTGCCGAACGTATCAGTGATAACGACAATGTGAGAGCCAAAGACGTTCTAAAAAACGTATCATTATTCATCGTATGTGGAACAAAATGTGTTATGACGGACCGCGGTTTCTGGTTAACGGCTATAATTTCACAGAGATAGCGATTAAAATATGAAATGATAAAGTTATTGATAAGGTGTTGTCAAAGTTACTAATACAATTTTGAAATTTTCCGGTCTTTTCTCTTATTTCTTAATTTTATTTGATTCGAGTAAAAAAATGGACCAGAATCTATTGAATTTTTGGAAAAACTACGAGAACATAATCAATTGGGGCTATCGAATTTCAGGGGCTCGGAAATCGGATAGTTCGTTGGTGACGATTGATACTGAAACGAAGGTAGGCTAGGTGCATGATTCATTACTGGCTGTTTAGTCCGTGTCCAATATTCTTACGTTTATTCTTTTCTTTGAGAAGAGTTATAGTTTTTATGATCGAAATCTTCCAATCATTTTTTATAGTTACTTATTTTGTTTTATATCTATTTCCTAGGAAATTAATACATGTACAACTTTTAACACTGAAGAAAACGAGTATGATGATGATGATGTCTGCTCTTCCGATGGCAGCTTTGATATTGATTTAGAATACTTAAACTTTTCAAAAACAACATTGGAACATCAAGAAAAAATAGGTTGGTATAGGTTGTATCTGTCAATTTCCTAATTATTGTCATATACCTAGTTAGTAATTTTATAACATAGGGTATATTATTTATTGAAGTATAGTAAATAAATATTGTTAATTGTTTGTAGAGTTAGAGAAGAGAAAAGTCGACAAGGAGTATGGACTGTGCAATTCACCCAGTTTTGAAAATGGTAATGTTTTGTTTATTGGATTTTTAGTATGTACATAATTGAAGGGTGGGCAGGAATAACTTGATATGCACTATGTAGCAATTCGTAAATGTTCAGGTACAACTAAAAACGAAAAATGTGTTATACATGGATTATACGGTTTCTAAGTTTATACACGATGATAGTGTACGATAAAAAAATTCTGGGAATTTTTCGAATATGTCGAGATTGCTTCATGAAAATTGAAAAAATGTTACATAGCACTTTATTATCGCCCACCCTTTAATTGCAAAATATCTGTCGATATAAGTGTAAATTAAGAAATACAAGTGTGGTAATGTTTCATTAATTTTGATTGAGTATTTGAGTTTCTTTTTATAAATAATTATTTACATTCAAGTTAAAATTGTTTTCATAAAAATTAAGGGTAATTTTAAATTCATAGTCTACTGTGATGATAAAATCTTTTTCTATTTTGACTCTTTAAAATAATTCTTTTGGGTATTACATCATATATAATGTAATATTTCTAATATGAATATTTGTTATGATGGAAAATCTATAATTACTAATTGCTTTTGTACTTCCACTGCAGCCCACAAGTCTTAGACTGTTATATTCCTTGCATAGGCGTGCACATACTCTAAATACTAAAAGCAGGTAGTGCCCATGTATTATCATCAGCCCTTTAGTCAACCATTCTATAAATACAACACATCTTCATTTTATATACCTATTTAAAATTAATAAATAAAAATAAATCGGTTTTATGTTTTTGGGTATTTTAACGTTTTACAATTTTCACGCTAAAGTTATTGAACGTCCAAAACTTATGTGATTTTTAGATTCCGAGGGGAGTGATGAATGTATTGGTTTTACAATTATGTGTGTTTTTTTTAATTTTAATTTTTTTTTGTCTGTACTAGATAAGTAGTCGAAATAATGGTTCAATTTTTAACATTAGTATCTTGTTCGATAGGAAAGTGAATGTAGTAGGATCTTTGGGGAGTTCAAAATCCCATATCCCCATTACTGATTAAAAGCGCCAAAATAAACTAAAAAAATTTAAGGAAAACCAGGAATTTTTACTTTAAATCAGTTTTTGGCAAAAACCGATTTTGGTTTTTGGTGTAACTCTAAAACAAATTACCTTAAATACATGCAATTTCACAATTTTTTTTATAAGCATTTCAATTTCAAATGTTGACAAAACACGTGAAAATCACAAAAATGTGCAAATTATTTTGAGTTAGTAATTCATTAAAATTTATCTTTTTAAATCTAAGATTTGAAGATGTAATACAGAGATGTAATACTAAGATACCTCATAAGTTTATCTATCTTTAAAAAAAAAAAATGTCGGACAAGAATGTCAAATTAAATTTTTATGTGTTTGGAGTTCATATTTTTATACCATTGGATATCCACTCAATTTATCATGTAGCAATTTTCATATTTTGTTATAATTTAAAAACAAATAACTGTAGATGCATGAAAATTTCACTGAATGTTTATTTCATAAATTCTTATACTTAATAACATTTTCAAAATATTTTGACTAGTTTATTGAGCTGTTCATAGATAATTTTAAATTTCAATTTTTTTAGTTATTTTTCCATAAATATCTATACAATTGTATTTGATGGGCCAAAAAGCGTGAACATTTAATACAAGGCTCCTGGTATATTTTTAATATAGCAGTTTAAAAATAAAGGCACAATTTATTTTATAAGCATTTAAAGTTCAATTTTTGACAAAATTTATCAAATTTAATAATTATTTTGTATTTAAAAATGTATAAAATGTTTAATTTTTATAGCTATGGATTGGACATTTTAAAAAACAAACTTCCACGTAAATAGGTTATTATATAAATTATTTTATTCACAATAATATCATCAAATATACTTAGTATTTTAGTAATATCATAGGCTGTCTGACCGTCTTCTCTCAGAATCGTTTTTCTTATACAATGATATATCATTGAATACAAATTTAACACCATCCGGCATCCATAACTGTGACCCACTTGTAACCTACTGTACAGCAGAGCGACACCCTATTTTTTGGTTTACCATTATTATATTTTTAAACATTATTTTAATATTTTGTTTCAATAAATTTTGAGAAGTAATAATAATTGTAATTTATTATAAATATTTGATAGATTGTATTACTTTATAGTTTAATGTTTTAATTTCCAACCATGACAAATAATAATTTATGTATAAACTCTGTGGTGAACAGGTTTTATCAAAAAAATGTATTCCTTACACAAAATAATACAATTCATAAGATTTAGAAGTGATATAAGCAAATTTATTTAAATAATAAAAAATACCAATTTATAAATTATTTCCTCTCATTATTAAAATGTTTTGCCAAATATAAAACAATAATTACGATCGCTAAAATCAGCAAACTTTAAGTAACTATATGACCATAATAGGTTTAAAAATAATAATAATGTCAGGTTTGACCTGCCATAAAAAAAAAATCCTAACCCTTAGTTATTTGGAATAAATCGATTTAATTTTTTTGGTGCAACTGAAAAATGAATAACCATAGACCCTTGAATTTTCACCAAATATTTCTATTATCATTTTACATGAATGGGAAAATTTTTGATATATTTTTACTCTTTTTAAGCTAGTAATAGCTTTAAGAAATTTTTCGAGTTTTGTAAAAATTTTTTATATTATTCTCTATAAAAACTTTTTTAATTAGTAAAAAACCTTGAAAATGCTAGGTTCCTTATAGGTTTAATTAATTGAAATTAGAAGATCAAAAAAATAAAGATACATATGTACGATTATTTTTTATATAAAATTAAATTTCAAATTTTAAAAAAATTTGGAAAATCTTCAAAAACTGTTTTTCAGTTAAAAATTCATAAAAGTTTTTCTTTCATAGCTAACATTAGAAATTTTGATAGAAAATTTTTGAAGACAAATGTTCCTACCTTAAACAAAAACAAAAGTTTACCGCAAAGTAATATCAATTTTTTATGAGCTGTTGCATTTAAAACTTGTATGAAATTGTATCTGAATCGGTAAATTAACATGTTTTCATCTATCAATTTTTGATATTTTGTTGTAATGCAAAAAAAGAATAATTCTAGATACTTGAAATGTTAACCAAATTTTAAAATTACAATTTTCCATACATGGTAAAATGTTCAAACAATTTTGACTTTTTTTGAACTATTTAGAGCCCTGAGAAATTTTTATGGATAATATGATAGCTAATATAAAGGCTTATATACAGGCTTTGCCTTATGAAAAATCACTGTGCGCACGCCTGTGATTCTTTGGTTCAAATTAATCAAACTATTATAATTTTTTTAATTAAAATATAATTATTTGTTAATTTGTGTTGCAGAATCTACCAGTATAACTGAGGTAGATGTGATTAATTCAGTAAAGCTCTATGGTTCAAAAGTAAATGAAATTGAATGTCTTGAAAATAATCTGCAGTCTGAATTTGAAAAATTTTGTGCTACGAAGAAACCAGTATTATGGCCTGGCATGGCATTTAACTGGGATGTACCAGGTATATATATTATGTTATTCATTCTGTATACTTATAAACAATTATTTGTTTGTAGTAATTATTGAATATTATGAGTCTGTATGTGATAACAAAAGAAAAGTATTGATACGTTTTCTTGGTATCGATTCAAATTCAAATATTGAAAAAAAGTATTAATTCTTATGGATACCAAATTATTTTATGAGTATTTAGAAGTTGTAAACATGCCAAATTATGGCATATAGAAATATTTATTTTTGGCTATAATATAAAATGTATCAATTTTAAATACAGTGAAACCTTGATAAGTTGAAATTCAAGGAAAATGCAACTATTAAATTAATTTAAAAAAAAAAATTGGACGTTTTTACATATATATTCATACAACGTATATTATTCGATAAGAGTACTTTTCTTTCAATAAAAGTAAAATATTGAAACTGTAGTATCTTTACTAAAAAATGCTTGTATTGGAAGAAAAGTATCAATAGTATTGCAATATCCCAAATTATGAGGATGCCTTTCTGGCATTTTTTGTAAGACAAGTGCATAACATAGCAAATTTTTGCCTAGCAATTCATATTTAGCTTTATCAGTTTTAACATTAGGATAAATTGACCTATTATAAAATCTAAAGGTACCAACATTATTTGTGGTTTTGTGGAGTTTTTTTTTTTTGATATTTAAATTTTAGACGAGTGATGAGCAATTTTAAACTTTAATAATTTATACACTTACAACTCACTTCAAAGATTAATTTATCTAAAAACAGATCTAACAAATCACACACAATGTTGTTACATTTATGTAAGATTATATGTGAATTCACTATAACATTAAAACAAATGCAGTTTAACTTAAATTTAATATATTATGCACTATTAAAATGGAGACAACAAATGCGGGTGAGAAATTTTCTTAACAAATTAACAAAAACGTAACTCAGATTTAGAAAAAATTAAAAATTAATGAACAACAAATGTCCAACTACTATTTGTGCAGATGTATTAAATTTAAATGTAATCTAATCTTTGCAATTCTTAGTAATTCCTACTCCCAAATCATATTTGATACTCAATATTATTCTATTATTAACTTATTAGACAGGAGGGTTGGGATTTGTTGTGTATACTTTGTATAGTTCTGTGATCTTATCATTCACTGAGTTATTATATTATAATATTTCAAATTTTATGTTTATTGTCCTGAATTAACAAAATACATAAAATTTTGTGTAAATTTTTAGGTTATTATGGTTTTTTATTTAACTTAATAAATAATAATGAATAGTAATAAATGAAAATTAAGTAGATAGCATGTAGTTGTCATTATCACATTTATTATGGTGGCAATATAATTTTGATTTTTGATTCAAATTAATTCATCACATTTGTTTTGCTCTGATTACAAATTAGTCCCTTTGGTTTTCTAAGAGACTTAAATCTATGTTAATATTAAACAAATTTACTAAATGAGACCTCACTTGTACCATATAAACTAAAGTAGATCATACTATCATAGTATCACTAAATTGACTTAGGTAGTTTATTACAAATTTCAAATACACTATAAATAGTGGTAACTCAATTAGGTAAAGGGTTTAAATTCGGGTATTTTGCAAACATTTTGTCTACAATGACTTCACCAATTGGTAATGAAGATGTAGCCGAAGGCGATGGTGCACTTCGGCAATGCATTATTCTATGCATCACTAAATCTGATGGATCATTTGACGCAATGTCCAGCACCAAATCCTCTGCCATTGTTCCATCTGCCCACAATGGTTGAGCACGAACACCTGTAGGACCTCTATTCATTTGTGTAACAGGCAATGCGTTGAATAAATAAAATTATACTTAAATTTTTTTGTTTTCAATCTTACTTTTTAATATCATTTTTTTTGATGTCTGGAATGTAGTTTTGTATTTCTTTTAGCTGCTTGGCAGGAAATAAAGACTTGATAGTTTCATTTATGCCAAATTTCATATGTTTTGCCATAAGTTTTTGAACACCATCTAGTTTTAAAAGCCTTATTGTGTTAGAAATACTAATATCATTCCAGCTAAAGACATGAATAATATATTAACATTTCTTATAACATTAATTAATTTGTATTTATCTGTATTAAAAACCTGTATCCTTCTTGTTTTAGAGCCAGAACTGCATTAGGACCCAAAAACACGGAGCCATCCATTCTTGGTGTAAAATGTACCCCAAGGAATGGTAAACTGGGATCCGGCACCTAAGAAGAGAATTAAATAAATGTATATTATGGTGTATAGTGTACAGATTGTATTATAAAATTAAATTGATCATTACTGGATATATATTGCCTTTAACGAGGTGCGCTTTTTCTTTGCCAAGTAAAAGATATTCACCTCGTATCGGTAAAATGTATGGATCAGCTTTACATCCAGTCATCAATGATAATTTATCTGATTGTAATCCACCACATGTAATGACATAATCTGCTAATACTTCATTCTGTAATTTTTTTTTTAAATTTAAATTCAATGAATTAGAAATTATTTTTTTTGAACTGTATAAACATGGCGTGTTGTGTTGCTTAAATTCTTAGGCAATTACCCATCCAATAGTGTCAGATAGGTTTTAACACGTACCACACCATGTTCCTCTCTATTTTTGTGTATTACTATACATTTTTTTTAGAAATTATTTTGAGTGCTCTGTTATGTTTACATTCTTCAAACGATTTCACTTTAAAATTGTAAATTATTTGACCTCCCAAATTTGCAAAGTCTGTTGCATAATGTTGTGTCACTACTCCCCAATCCACAATTCCTGTATGTGGTGAATGAATTGCTCGTACACCCTATAAACATGTAATAAAAAATTTAACTAAGTTTCATTGTAACTTATATTGACTTACTTTGCAGTATGGTTCAATGGTCTTGATATCATTTCCATTTATCAACTTTATGTCAGGAGTGCCATTTTCTAATCCTCGCTCATACAAGTCATTTAAACTTTTTATTTGGGATTCTTCAGTGGCAACAATGAGTTTTCCACATTTTTTATGAGGTATATTATTTTTGGCGCAGTATTCATAAGTTTTATAAAGACCTTCAATGCACATTTTTGCTCTCATCGAACCTGGTTTGTAATATATACCAGCATGTATAACTCCGCTGTTGTGTCCGCTTTGATGAACTGATGGCCTATTTTCTTTTTCTACAAGACCTACATGTAAATGCTTATTTCGTGATAATAATGCTCGTGCAGTTGCGAATCCAACAATACCTCCTCCCACAACTAGTACGTCGTAACTATTTTTCTGACCTTTACTATAAAAACGAGGACATGAACCTGTGAATAAGTTTACAATTCCCATTTTCACTGTCATCTGGACTGGTTTCATTTTGGTTAAGGTATAACAGTTGATTCCTAAATAAACAAATAGGATAACAATTATTTTAACTGACTTAAAAATATTCAATCATTGCGAATGTATTATTTTAATACCTCATATATTCAAATGATATAAAAATGTTTTAATGATTTTATATTAAACACATTTTAACTTTGAATTGCAAAACAATAACTTAAATTAATGAAGAGTAGCATAATTTCTTATCTTTTATCAACTTTTACACTCAGGGCCTTAGAACTTAGAAGATATAATAATAATAATATTAAAGTATTACGTTTATAATCAATATTTGCACTTGATTCTGTTGATTTTGTTTTAATCTGTGTCACTTCATGTTTTCAAATAACACCTCAGCAGCACTTGACAGTTGACAAGATGGTACAAAAAAAAACATTACAAGTTTTTAATCTTGGAATACTTTATTTTTTTTTTTAAAGTCAAAAGAAATATAAAAAATAGATATTTTATAGCTGCTATTTTACATCGTATACAAAACAATAAAAATTATCTACACTAAATCCACTTTTTTCTTTTCATAGTTTATTTTCTTTAGAAATGTGAGTGCCGTACATTTACCAGGTAAATTTTTACCGGTAAAATAAATTTTACCAATTTTTTTATTAGATAAGATGTCTTCTCTACATGGTGTTTTTACGAAAAATGTTGTGTAGCCCCTCTAATCAAATGCAATCAAAATGCCAATTTGCAAAAAGATAATTTTTTTATCAACTGATAATAAATACCAATACAATAATAATTTGTTATACTTATCAATTGTTATCACGGCCTTCAACTTAACATAATATTTTCTATTTTCTCCACACTGTAAAATAAATATGAGTAATAGTTGAAAGTAAATAAATATTTGTATGTTTTGACTTTTGAACATAAAAAATATAGGAAATGCTTTGGTAATTTCGATAAATTTATTTTAACTATTTATTAATTGTATTATGAATAGTTAAATATTCATAATATGCACTGATACAGAACAACAGATCCATTTTTAGTTCTTTATTGTTACCGTATAATTATAAAGAACTAAATTTGTCAAGAATACAACAATCGTATTTACTACTTAGAAATTTAATTATTAAACATTAGATTCTATTTTACCAATTAATTTTTTATTTTTTTTGTGTCTGTCATCACGTTTTAGGACAGTAAAACTGCTTGGATTTTCTTCAACAGTAGCTTTTCTGAGAGGAAAGTGAATCTAGTTGGTACTTTGAGGGGGTCAAAAGTAATTTCCTAATAGTTTTCACAAGCACCGGGAAAAACAACATAAAAATTAAGGAAAAACGGGAATTTTTACGGAAAATCTGTTTTCGAGAAATTCGATTTTGGTTTTTGATGTAACTCTAAAACAAATTATTGTATATACGTGAATTTTTCACTGTTTGTTTATATTTGCATTTTCTATACACGATGAAATTTTCAAAATATTATGATTTGTTTTGAACTGTTTAGGGACATTTTCATTTTCCATTTTTTTTTAGTTTTTTTTTTTCTAAAAATATCAATACAATTTTATTTGTTGGTTGCGAAAGCTTGAAAATTTAATAGAAGGCTCCTAGTATATTTTTTCAAAGGCAGATGAAAAACATTAAAAATCCTTTGTCACAGTTTTTTTTTATAAGCATTTAAAGTTCAAAAATTGACAAAATATGGAAAAATCACAAAAATAAGCAAATTATTTTGAGGTAAGAATTCGTAAAAATTTTTCTTTTTAAATCTAAGGTTTTAAAATGTAATACAAGATTCCTTATAAGATTATCAACCTTTACCAAAAAAAAAAATTACTATAAGAAAGTCAAATTAAATTTTTATGAGCGTTTGAAATTTAAATTTTTACAACATATGATATTCACTCGATTTCTCATGTAGCGAGCGATTTCTTTATTTTGTTGTAATTCAAAAACGAATAACTGTAGATACATGTAAATTTCACTGAATATTTATATTAACATTTCCTGTACACCATAGAATTTTGAAAATATTTTGACTCTTTTTGAGCTGTTTACGGACAATTACAGTTTTCAATTTTTTAAGTTTTTTTTTCATGAATATGAATATTGTTGTATCTGTTGGGCCAAAAAGTGTAAAAATGTAATACAAGGCTCCTGATATTTTGTTACAATAGCAGTTGAAAAATATAAAAAATACATAATATGCACATTTATAAAATTTTCAACTTTTATACCTATCTAATAATTTAAAATTTAAAACAAGATTCCAAGTAAGTAGTTAATTCTGTTACCAAAAAATCTAAAAAATACATAATCACAGTTTATTTTTATAGTCATTTTAAGTTCAAATTTATACGAAATTACATAATAAATAACCTAGAATAACTATTTTAGTTATTTTGTTATGATTGTATATTATTCGTGGGTAGGTACTTGAAAGTTGAAACTTCTAAAGTATACTTTTATATCAATGATAGTATCACTTTTTGTTGTTGATGTAAAATGCGTTATTAGTATCTAATGGATATTGTGATATGATTAATTTGGAATTTATTATAGGTACCTACCTATTATAGGTCAATTTTTTTTTAATACCATAGTTATGTTTATATTAGGTATGTCTTAAACCTAGACTGACATACCGTTTCCGCTCAGAATCGTTTTTCTTATACAATGATATTATATCATTGAATTCAAATTTAATACCATAAATTATACAGTGACCCACTTGTAATCAACAATACAGCAGAGTGACATCCACTTGCAAACCTACTGTACAGCAGAGCGACATCCACTTTCCCACCTTTTTTTTTACTTGAATTTATCTTAAATCAAGATTTTCAAAATGCAGGGAAATATGACAGGACAATGTTTTCACTATCCTTGCAATACATTAAGGTTGATTAATAAATAACAATTTAAACAAAAAACCGTTCTGATAACCATAGCTATAATCCAAACAATTTTTTATCCATAATATAATCAAGTTTATAAGTTTATTATATAGGTCTGTCATGTTTTATGTTATAGAGTATTAAACCAAAACAATTATTAATTTCTTGTTCTGTGAACATACAAATCTTTCTATATAAATGTATGCAACATTTGAACGTTTCTTTTGCGAATTTGCTGTTTTTTCAATAAATTATTATCAAATTGTGGGAGTCATCGTTTATAATTTGTACTTTCTTACTCTCCGTAATAAAATCAGAAAATAACTTTCAAAAAGTTAAGTGCAAAATAGTTAAAACGGGACTAAAGACTAAACTACTCCTTAAGTCCCAACTTCAAACTTACCAGCTCCATCCATTTTTACGACTCATAATATTTATCATAATTTATTTAACGATATTAAATATAAAACAAGGATAACAAATTGAAGAATAATATTATATACTTTTTTTTTGGGGGGGGGGAGCAGCTGGTGAGATTCGAGAATTCTTAACTCATATAAGTCTCGTAAGTCACACTTACCAGTTGCTGTACAAAATAGAAATGTACTATGTACATTGTACAATACAGTAACTACAATTCTACAATATCTGGGTCCGTGGTATTAATTATATTATATCACAGAACCAGAGGCTAAAATATAATTATTTTCGTAGGTACTACACATTTTATATTATACTTTTAGTTACAGCGAGGGGCTTTGCCACCCCACCAAAAAAAGTGTATTGAATCTATACACATAAACAATAAACATAGAATAATCAATTTCTATTTTTCTTTATCTACAGAGTATAGACATCGCAAGTTAACGATTTATGTTCGTATATTGGTACGATAATTAATTCGGTATTATACATAATATTGCAATAAATGCACAGAACTATAATAATACTATACAATACCTATTATAGACAGTGAATTGCGAAATAAAAATCCCCGATTCTAGGAAAAATCATCCCAGATTTCAATATTAGGTACTCACATAATCACATGAAATTGATTGATTAAATGTTTTTTAAAAAATGTCATTTAATTAATGTAATTACCACATTGTTAATATTTAATTATAAATAAACAGAAGGTTTAGGAATAGCTATCATTAAAAAAATGATTGTATAATAAATAGTGTTCAAACATTAACAATAACATTATTTTGTTTTTGATTTGAAACAACATAGGTAAATATGTGAATGGTTCTTTTACAAAAATATAGGTAAACACATTCAGTAACTATTGTTTGATAATTTATTATTTGTAATTTGTATCGATTATTCGAAATATTTTTATTTTGTAATATTTTAAATATTGTATCTATAAGTAAAACTTGTAAAATCGACTCCTAATAATACGTAATAATTATTATTAATATTTAAAATTCTTATCTGTCTATTTCCCAACGAAACATCAAATAATTTTTCAATTAGGTGAAGAAAAAAGTGGAAAAAAAAGCTAGTATAGTAGTTATTACAGGCCATTACACACTTTTTAATTTCGTATTCCACACTTAGTATTTCGTACTAAACAAAGTGTGTCGTATTACACACAATTTTAGTCATTGCACAGAACCTAGTATAAAGTTGTGGATGTAAAAGACCGTGACCATAGATGAACATATGTCCAGTGGCGTCCGCAGGATTTTTCAATGGGAGGGGCTTGAAAATTAATTACAATTTTCTTTTCATTTTCTCCAGTCTAATAATTTCAGACGTTTATTTGAGGTATTTTAAAATGTTTGTAACTTTTCAACTTTTCTGGTAGACAAAACGCTCTGATCATAAGCTCCGATGCTCAGTGTATGTTTTTGGAAGCAAATTGGATCTAGTTGGTACTATTAGGAGGTTGAAATTGAAAATGCTCAGTGCTTTTAAAAATAATTTGAGAAAAAAAAATTAAAATTTATTTAAATGTTTGGTTATACCGTCTTCACTTGGATTGTATTTGAATAATTAAATTTTTGTTTTCTATAAATGTCAATAAAAAATTATTTATCCGGTCAAAAAGCTTAAAAATGTAATACGTAAGTTTTTTTATTATAGCTAAAATATTAACGATACATAGGCATCATGCTTATTTTTTATAAGCATTTAAAGTTCAAATTTCGTCAAAACCACAGTTAATTTGCAGTTCAAAACTTATAAAATATTAAATGTGTATAGTTAAGGCTAGACAATTTAATACAAGGTCTTTCATACAAATAGTTCATACTTTTACCGAAAAATTACAGATAATTGATGAAAATTGGTATGTTACAAATACAATGTTTTTTCAAAAATGAATTCATTCTGGTAAGACATATTTGAAATTTACGTTTTGCTTACTATAGTTGAGAGTTTAACTTGATTAATATTTTTTTGAAAAAGTAATAATAATACGGGTAATAGGGGGGGCTTTAGCCCCCCCCCCCCTGCGGACGCCACTGCATAGGTCTTTATAGTACGTATATACAGTAGAACTCCGATTATCCGGACTAATTAATGTCAAGGGTGGTCCGGTTAAGCAAATATCCGGATGATTGACATATGACATTTTAAAAGTTATTTAGGGACATTGTAACACGAAAATTCACTCGTTATAATAATATATCAATTGACAGACTAAAATGTGTGAAGATTAGACAACAACTGACCATTGGGGGGGGGGGTGCATAGGGGACTTTTGCACTACCGAGTTAACAATTTGAACCCCCAAAATATAAAATATGTACTTATATTTTGATTATTTTGAAGTAAATATTATCAATAAATACAAACATTTTGTAAGTGGGTACTTCACTATTATGTTAGAACATTCCCAGCTATAACAGTATAACATAATATTATGATATAATCTTTAGCTTAGGACCTTTTTTTTTCGTCCGGTTAATTGGACATCCGTTTGATTGGCGTTCGGATAATCGGAGTTCTACTGTATTATCATATTGTTCTATGGTATTATCTATACATTTGAAGCAGTCCTTCCAGTCTCCCTGTCCCGGTTATCTCTATATTTTTGTCATCGAATTGTCCGTGACCGCAATCCAACAGTGTGACAAACGTTAAAGGCTCCGAGTGAAAAATGTGTGGCTAGTAACTACTAACTATTATGCTACTAACTTGTAACTATAAAAAAAAATATATGTAGTAATATTAAAAATGCAAGATCGACGAAATGTCCCGATTTGAATGGACTATAGAATATAGATCCCATGATAAATTTATCAAGTCAGTCAATCGTGATGGATCCATTTTGTCTCTTGTTCGTTCACGTTTCGGTTTCGGTAGAAATCGCCGTGCTGCGGGCGACACTGTAAGCGGCGGCGACTCGCCGTCGCTCGCCGGCAGAGTTCATTAGCGTCGTGTAAACAAAAGTCGCGTTTTCGTCCGGCTAACACAACAACAATAATACACCGAGACGTATCAACTAACACAACACCACTTAGTTTTTGTCTAGCGTGTGTCTCGTTCCGTCGTGCGTTTGTGCTCCGTGCCGCGGATACATGGAATATTATACACAAAATAATATTGCAAAACGGCGTATCACCGTGTTTGTTTGAATATAATATTTAGGCAGGTACGTCCCGTGATTTTTCTCGCATAATCGTCCGGAGGATTTTCCGCGATGTGAGCTGTTTTGGTGACCACGGTTTGCACGACGACGACGATCATTTTTTCCGTTTCGAAAACAATTGGGACGAAATCTCCAGTCTCCTCCCGTGTGCTGTAATCTGTTTGACCTCCGCTATGGAAGACGAACTGCACTGCATCGCCTGCAAGCAGCTGTTCAACAACCCGGTGCTGTTGCCGTGCTACCATGCTCTGTGCCTGAACTGTGCGGTGCACGCGCAGCGGCCGCTGGAGCCGACCGCGCCGCAAGAGAACAGCGGCAACTCGACGACCAGCGGCAGCAGCACGGCCGAGTCGCACGCGTCCGACTGCTGCCATCCGGAGTCGGACAAGCTGTCCATACTCAGCGAGACGGACAGCGGCGTGGTGTGCAACAGCCGGCCGAACAGCTACCTGGGCACGTCCAGCCACATCGGCGGGGGCGTCATCGCGTTCCCGCCGATCATGGCCGGCTCGTATTCGCTGTCGTGCCCGGCCTGCCGGAAGACCGTGTACTTCGACGACAACGGCGCGCACAACTTGCCCAAGTACAGGACGATGAGGAACATCGTCGACCGCTATGGCGAGCTCCGGCACATCGTTCCCAAGTGCCAGCTGTGCGAAAGCGAACCCGCGGCCGACGCCACCGTGCTGTGCGAGCAGTGCGAGGTGCTGTACTGCGACTCGTGCCGCGACAACTGCCATCCGTCCAGGGGCCCGTTGGCCAAGCACAACCTGCTGGAGCCCACGGTCGGCAAGGTGGCGCTCAGGAACAAGATCAGAAACAGGGACATCATCTGCAACGAACACGAAGAAGAGTGCCTGTCCATGTACTGTATGGTCTGTAAGACACCGGTTTGCGCTGTGTGTATGCACGAGTCGAGACATTCGAGTCACGACGTACAAGCCATCAACACCATGTGCAAAGCTCAAAAGGTAACACTACCACTGTTCGTTTTGTAATAAGTAGAGGTAGGTACCTCGGTACCTACATAGCAATAAGATGTTTATCACTAGTTTGTAAGTCAATACCCGTCAAGTAATAAATAGGTATCTGCCAAGGATTTATGTTATATCATGTTAGCGGTGTGATATTATTTGTTGGGTTGTTGCTACTCACAAAGCACCCACTTCAATTATACCAATCCAAGATTTTGTAAATTTATAAGACTTGTTGTTCACTGTTTCAACTATTATACTTAAATACATTCTACAAATAAGCAGTTGGGTCACGTTGTAATGAAAAAAGTTGAAAACACAAATTAATATGGTAAAGATAATAATATTTGTAATTAAAATGTATAATCAACCTTCTCAATTTTCTATTATAATGATTGAACAGTGAAGACAGTGTATTTTCAATCCTATACAAATACAACTTCTGCGATAATTACTACCTAATTAGTTTTGTTAATCGATACATGACATGACAGTAACTTAAAACCTATGTTTTGCTGAGCCATAATATCTTCTGTAAAACTAAGAGTACCTATGTATAATAATAGTATAATAAGATGAGATAGTTTTATAACCTACTATGGTGGAATATAAGTCGGTTACTACTCATAATGTTCACTTACAAAGAACTATCAAACAGATGGTTTGTTAATATATTGTTGTAAGGGATTGGTAAATCAAAATAATATCCAATGTGTTAAGACTGAATAATACCTTTAGGCTATTATAAACCCTTAAATTGAAATTACATAACTATTAAGCCAGTGTTATAACGCTTTATTTTTCAATAAATGCAATTAATTAATAACTAGACTAGGTAATTATAATATTATAAAATTATTTTTATTTTATTTTCATATCCATCACCTTTATGCAAAATAATTTGTTTTTCTTGTGAAAATTAAAATACCGTCCTTAAATTTGAATTTATAGTTTATTCATTGACTCAGTCTATAATTTAAATAACGACATAAAATGTTTTTAATATAATTGGAAATTCGTAAAAATGTCTCAATATAAGAACATTTTAAAAGTATTTTTAACACAAAAGTGTTTTTATTGAATTAATGGTTACTGTTCCTATATGCCAATAATTTTATCAGTAAACAAGTTTAAAAGTAAAAACATAATTTTTTAGCAATTATAGTTTGACAGTCTTTTTCCGAAAATCTGTTATGATGGATTGGAAATTAAGGATTAAGGTCTATTTTACACGATATTTCATGCTTATATTTGTATAACTGATATCTCTGGGTTCGTTTTGAATATTAATGATATACCTAAATATGATTAATTAATAATTATATTAAAAACGATATAGGACTAACAGGGGCGGATCCAGAAATCAGAGACCCCCCCCCAAACACACATCTAATGAAGAAATTCGTTAGACCAAATCGATCATACAATATGTAATATATATTATACAGGTATATCGGGAGGCATATTGCTTAAGATAATAAAAATTATTAGCGTTTACATAAACACACACGTGCGCTACTGCTTCGTAATTTAGGATAATCAGGTCGAGTTAAGTCACGATTTAAACACGGGTGAAGGCAATTTACACAATGGCTGACTTAATTAAATACTTAAAAAAAAGAAAGAATCGAACTGCGAACAGAAATCTGATACATTTTAATGTCTTATTTTTAAACAGGGAATAACGTTTCGTCCTCGGTTTCAACAGAAATGGATAGACTGTGAAGTTTACACAGTAAAATAATATTATAAAATATACGTTTAAATGTACCTGTGTGTGCTTTATTTGTACCTGCGAGGCTAATAACTAATAAGGTATAAACTTATGAATCTTCTATACCTAAACGTTTCAAAAATAGTATGTTATAAAATGACAGGTGATGAATTTGGCCTTAGGGTATTGGCGTATAGTTTTTATGATTGAATTTAATCGTTAGGATAATGCCCAATGCCCAAATTCAATACTTTTCAATACCTATCGTACTTTATTAGAATAATTGTATGTTTTTGTAAATTATAACCTGTTATAACCTGTTGTAACTTAACTGATAAATCAGGTAAATAAATACGATTGTTATAAATTAAATTGTCACTTTCTTCTTGCTCATATTTTCATGGAGTTGGACCGATGGTTAGGTTTTTTATGAGTAAGTTTTCAACTTTATAGAAGGTATTGTAGTATTTTAAAACTTTTTTCGAAAATAAAACATAACTCACTTAACTGTATAGTAGACGCAATGTTATTTTATTAGTTTTTTCGGTCTAGGACCTAGGTATATATTAATTACGTTTAAAGTCCATTAGAGATTCTATTTTATATTTTATTACCTATGTTTGATATTTTTCTTTTATTACAACGAGTAAATGTATCTATTTATTTATAAATGTAGGTATACGCGTGTTGATTCAACTAGGTAGGTAGGTATTTCATTTGTTTTTAATCTATTTATACATATTCTTTTATTATTAAAACTTTCTATGTTTTAGTCCATGGCTTGTCTACTGTTAGCAGATGTTACTTCAAGTTTTAACTTTTAAATTTAAATTTAATTATTTTTAATATTTTCGACAGCCAATTGAAAGAGTACCTATGGACGGTGCCCGGGCAAAAGGGAAAAAGTCCATTTTTCTTTTATTGAATATTCTTGTTGAATATTATAATCTACATTGATTGGCATTGGAAAATTAAACAAATTGTAGGTTCATTTTTTTTAAAACCTATGAGAAAAAAGGAATAAGTAATCAGTCACTGTACAAATAGGACCGGTTTTTTTTAGTTTTCTCAAAACAGTGTTTTTGTACTTATTCCCTTTTGCCCGGGCACCGCCCCTATATACTTATCACATTTGAGATTAAATTATTGGTTGGTATAAATTATTTTATACATTTTACTAAAATTTCTAAATTCAAATTTTGTATTAAAATTAATTAAACAAATTTAATATATAATGTTAATTCTATATTAATTGATAATATTGTATCTACGTCTCAGATTGGATTAGGTTAGGTCAGGATTAGGTCTCAATTAACAATATTCAAGTACCTATTGGGTTTTTCTAGTAAGGTAAAAAATTGAAAAGATAGGTAACGGTTTTATTTAATTTAATAAATACATAAATATATATAAAGTAAAAATGTATAGTTCATAAGAGGGACGCTACAGCCGCGAGTATATTATAACAAGTTATGTATGAGTTTTGAAAAAAAGGAACTTTTAAGTTCTTTTAATTAAAACCCTGCTCGGCTTAAATTTTTATCCTGTACAAATTCTTAAATACTTAATTTTGCTCTAATATTAACTCAAAATAAACCCTAGTAAGAATACTTTACGTATATTTGCTATGTTAAGAGCGTGTAAAGAACTAAAGACATACAACACCAGCGGGTGGTACACTGTAGCGTCCTCTTAATGTTAATATATATCATTAAATATAGGTACTCTATTACCCTAAGCATTTACTAGGTATGTTGAACATTTTGGTTTTGGGATTTATAGGTGTATTAAAAAATAAACGTCCATGTTTTTCGAGTGGCTGCACAATGTCTTCATTATTATTTTACAAGTGTACTTTCGCTCCTATAGTGATATCAATTATTTAAGTCAATAACGCAGGGAAAGAAAAATTTACTCCGTCAAATTTAATGGGTCTTGATGGGTATATTTTACCAGTAGCTATATACCTATAGTCAACCGGAAGCACGGGGGAGATTGAAGGCGGGCGGAAAAGCAATATTCGCGTAAAGTCTGAGTCCCCAAGGGGATATTTGATTTCATTTTCAATATTATCTCCCGACAAAAGTTAAACACTGAAGGCGAACCAAGTCATGTTGTTAGTCGGAAGTCATTTCTCTGACATTTACTTTAAACTTCAAGCATTGTTTATAAGAATTCAGATCAATATTGAAATGCGTTGTATTATGAACCTTATCATGACCATGCATAAAACTATAAAATATATAAAACTTTAGACATTTTTGCTTATTCCAGGCGCTATTGTTTCTTATTGTTTCCATAGTTAAAATGATGTGCTTCGTAGGTACTAGTAAACAATGATTAGACTGTAGAATTCAATATGGATTTTATCGAGGATTTTATTAAAATATCCACTGTTATTTCCGTATTTCCTATTTGTTTAAAATATCAATAGTAATACAATGTTAATTAAGAAATATTTTATATGTATAGGTTTATATATTTTATAGATACACATATATTTATTTTTGGTTTATTCGAGTTAAAATAAAAAAAACATTTGTTTTTTATTTATTTACAAAAATGCCAGTTTAAATTATAGTTTTACATTTTAATATTTGGTGTTGTGAATGCTGAACTAAATTGTTGAGCTTTGTAACTTGCGTAGGCAACAAACTCGTTTTTGTATATATACACTAGTTTGTTATGTCCAAGTTTGAATCCCAAAGAAGTTTTTTATTACAAACTTTTGTAGTGGTATTGGGAACTTTTCGTCTTTAGTTAAAATTTGAAGCCTCTTATTGTATTCATCCTCATGTACTCTGTACATCGTACTGATTAATTTTTTTAATTCTGTATTAGAAAATGACTTGCGTACTACTTGACACTTGTCTACCTACATTAATTTATCAATTTTTAAATTGCTTATATTTGAAAGTGGGTACTTGTATTATAAAATACATTTTATCAAAAATATTATTATAGTTACATTTCCAGACGAGTAATGATTTTTTTATATATTTCTTCTACCTAATTGAAATTGCCCCAACAAAAAGTTCTTATTACAATAGTACTATGCTTATAGATTAATTTTTTTGTGTGGTGCTACTACTGAGTAATTTGTCTGTGTCCCAAAATTTATTTTAGTTAATTGTTTTTGTAGGTTATATATATAGGTAGTTAGGTATATATTATACGCTTTATTGAACGTTAAATATATTTCATATATAGATATGGGCAATGGGCCTTAAAGTTTGAACGAAATGCCATCCTTTTCACGTAGTAAAACAATAAGCCGAATCTGTGAGAGACTGAATTAAATTTCATTAATTTGAAAAGGACTTGTACGAGGCTTGTTAAGTTATACAAAGCACAAATGTACGGACCGATGCGGCTTGTACACCGAAGAAGTTAATATTGACGAATAATTAATAAGGGTTATTGACGAGAAAGTTTTCTTCTTCGATTTTGGAAATAGGTCACTGAACATTGTAGTAGGTATTATATTATAGTGGTAGAATGATTTTTGAAATAAAATACCTCAACATAATTTGCTTTTAGATTTTTGTGCATTGACAATAATTTTAAATTTATATATTATTTGGTACCTACAGCATATTCGTATTATTATTATTGTTATAATAGGATGCATATTGCACGTGTTCTTAGTTTTTTGGTAATTTACATCGCATATTCGCATATAACACCAGCAGCTATGTAATGTACGTTACATTGTTTCACCTCTAATCTAAAATGTAAGTCTCGTGCACGTGCACGCCCCTATACTGTGTATTACATTATTGTGCTAAACAACAATGTTATATAGTAATGATAACAAAGCCTCATTTTAATCTATTCTACCCAGAAGTAAATTAAGTCGCACAACTTCGTATTTATTAAAGCCCATAATATCAGATATATTATATTGCTTTATACATAAATTAAACAATAATAATATTATAATATAAAGAATACGTTATAAATATTATTATATAACATCTTGTGCAATTGTTTGTTTTGATTGATTTGTTGTTCATCGGGAGTTATAAATTGTTATTTTAATACAGATATTTAAATGTGGAATATTATTACTTGAGTGCGTGATGTTTTTTTAAATTCTGAGGATATTATTTTATTTTATTTGATGTTTTATACTTGAAAACATTTTTTTTTTTTGGTACCATTTGTCTATTTATTTTGTGAAATGTGTAGTTCTGTATACTTTCCGCAAGATCTACATACCTATTATATTTTTGTATTTTGATCTTAATAAGTTATATAGGTATTGTGATCTTAGGAACTTGATATTTATTTTCTTAATCTTACACCCAAGATGTTTTTGGCATAACTAATAATGGTCGTCGAATAAATTATGTACAATAATGTTAGCATTTTTTAATCTACCTTAAATTTACATTGAAATGGCTGAAAGCCAAATTGCAGTTGTCGTACAACAGTAGATACCTACTTTAACAAACATAAATTAAGAATTAAGATCGATGGTTTTTAAATTTTATTCTAAACCGTGGAGCATAGTAAAATGATTTGAAAAGTAGCCTTGAAAATAACATTTTTTTTCTATTCAAATCGTTTCTAATGATATGATTATTATCATTTATGTGTACTGTATGGTATATTATTTATTATATACGTGTTTCGTTTATATATTCTATATACTTACAGTCTATAAAGACATTTTTTCATGTTGCAATACCATTATTTTTCACGAATAAAAGTAGGTATTCAGAGCTCAAAGATGTCATATTATTGATACCTACATAATATAATATAATATTAATAGTAAATACAAATATTTTGCAAAGTTATCAATCATGTGTAGTCATAATATGCCATTTTATTGTTTTATATTTTATAAGTACGATAAACTCTCGGGCCCGGGATAATCCTAATGCCGCTGTTAAGGAAATGATATTCAAACTTAAGCCTTAGGGTACATTCAAGTCCGATCTTTGATGTGCTTAGGCGCAAATCCATTAAAGTTTCTTATGGGGCTAACATTTTTAACATCAATTTTAACCTCCACGGCATCGATTCCACTCTACTAAAATACTTTATATTTTTTGCGGAGGCTTATGAGATATTTGTGTTGAGGGGGCTAGCCCCCCTGTGATTTGAGCCTATGTTGATGTGTTTCGTAATCGTTACTGCAGTAGTTAATGATTTATGTATGTCGTTAGATGTACGAATTCGATTTATTGAATGTATAAAGTAGTTTTATTTTCTCCTCGTTTTTCTCTTATATCCTTCATAATAATAATATACGAGGTTAGGCTATTAAATAACGAGACTGGTTACGAAAAAGGGTTTTATTATAAAAATTATTCTACATTCGAATGCTCCCCTTCAATATACTCCCCTCCCCTCGCAACACACCTTTCCATACGTTTTTTCCATTGATCGAAACAATGCTGGAAGTCTTCTTTGGTGAGGGCCTTTAGGAGCTCTGCCGTTTTTTGCTTTACCGCTTCCATCGACTCAAATCGGGTCCCTTTCAAAGCAGATTTTATCTTTGGAAATAAAAAAAAGTCGCACGGTGCCAAATCTGGTGAGTACGGCGCGTGTTCGAGCACTGGAATGCGCTTACCGGCCAAATACTGTTTCACAGATAGCGCGTTATGGGCAGGTGCGTTGTCCTGGTGCAAAATCCACGAGTTGTTCTTCCAGAACTCGGGCCGTTTCTTACGAACTCGTTCTCGCAGTGTTGCTAAAACTGATAAATAGTAAGTCTGGTTGATAGTCTGACCTTCTGGAACCCATTCAGTCATCACGATACCGTTAATGTCAAAAAAAACGATCAACATTGCCTTGAATTTTGATTTGGACATCCTTGCTTTTTTGATTCTGGGCGATTCAGGCGTCTTCCAATGCATCGATTGCCGCTTTGTTTCAACATCGTATTGAAAAATCCACGTTTCGTCGCAAGTAATAATGTTTTTCGTCAGATCTTCTTTTAACCTTTCAAGGAAATCTGAGCAAACCTGTTGACGCAAGAGCTTTTGGTCAGGAGTCAGGTTTTTTGGCACCAACTTCGCACAGACTTTTTTCATGTGTAATTCCTCATGTAAAATTTTTCTAACCGTTTCTTTATCGGCGTTTACAGCCTCGGAAATCATTCGGATGCTCTTTCGACGATCTGCACGCACAATTTGGTTGATTTTGGTCACTGTTTCCGGAGTTGAAACAGTGACAGGGCGGCCTGGGCGCTGGTCATCTTCAGTGCTCTCTCGGCCCTCACTAAAGCGCTTACACCACTCAAAAACACGTGCACGAGATAGAGAATTGTCCCCATAGACCTCTTGCAACAATTTATAGCACTCAGTCGGAGTTTTTTTCAATTTAACGAGAAATTTGAGATTGATACGTTGCTCCTGTTTTTCGTCACACATGGTTTTCGGCACGAGAAAAAAACACGTTCGTTTCTAACCGCTACAGCACAAATACTATAATAGTGACGAAAACGTGTTTTGGCACGTGCATAGATAAGATATCTAGATACCCAACGCACTAATCGTTTTTTTCCCCCACCCGTCTACGGCCCCTATAGGCGGGCAGTCTCGTTATTTAATAGCCAGACCTCGTACGTGTCTGAAATTCTATATTTATGCAATTCTTGCAATTGCTGTTAGCTATTTAACACGATTTAAAAATCGAAAAGTGATGTTTAGTTGTAAATATAATAGAATACAGTTACGATTGGATCGTAACGAGTCCACCGTCCACGGTGTATTTTTACAACGGTTTTGCTAATATTTGATCAACGACAAGACGCGCGAGGAAAATGTTACGATTTCAACGTTTCGGAAATTAATTGCTCCTCCGATGTCGAGGGTTAGATGTTTGTACACAGCGAGTTTACTCAAGATATTAAAAGTAAACGGGCGCTCCGTAAACCCAATCGCGAAACCGTTGCGATCAATTTCTCGGCGAGCGCACGGTGTATATTCTTCCTGCACCCCTTTCCCATTCTTGGGACGCACCGATGCGAGGGCGCTGCGTTTAATCCGCAAATCGGTCTCCGGATCTAAGGCATTTCGCTTTTAATTTTTCTTCGGCGTGATGGGGAAAAAAACTAAAATGTCGAGACCTCCGCCTAGGCCCTAACTGTTACTTTACATATTATATAGTCTTTTTAAAAGTAGTTATACCTACCTACCTATAAAATATAAACAATTTAATACAGGTATTATATAAAGGTACAACCAGGGTACAGAGAAAAAACCTAAATAATCTATGTACTTATACTGCAAGTACATAAATAAGTACCTGAAACTGTTTAAAACAATACGTATTTTTTCGAAAACACAAAAGTTGACTCGGAAAATCATACTGCAGTAGCTTGCAGTTATAATGGCGTATCGCACCCCGTATACACAGGGATCGCACATAAAACCTACGGAATGATAGACAGAGATGGAGCTACTAAATCCGACCGGAGATGAAGGAAAACTTATATGTATATATATAATATACGATATTACGATGTAATATATCTACCGTTTTCTCTATACCCGCGTACCTACCTAAGGTACATCGCAATACAAAGTATTTTGTGGGAACGGGAAGGAGTATATATATATAAAAAAGGGATTTACTTTGAGATGAGGGCACGGGTGGTGCGGGCAGCCGCAGATTTCGGATTGCTTTTGAGCAATTTCCGCCCCGGTTCCATCATCGCGTGGTTAAGTGCTAATACGTCGTCCGAGCAGACGTGGACGACCACCCCACGTATATACTGCAGCAGTCGGCGGCCGATCGACTGAAAACATATCGGCCGCCGTTTGCGGACCGCGAAAACGGATTGTTGTGTATTCAACCGTATTATGACGTGGTGGCTGGCGTTTCGATCAAAGCGCCGCCGCCGAAGTGGATGACGGATACGAACGGATGTGAACACGATCTCGTATTATTATGATATATCATAGGTACTATATCCCTATACATGGGTGTTCTTGATGTGTATACTTGTGTACAGGGTGATGCTTTAACGCGAGACATTGTTTTTTTTAAATTTCAAGTACTTATGTATTAAATGCGTTCTGCGTTTGCTGTATCATATGCTATAACTGCAGTATCAAATCAGCAACATATTCTTAAATTAAACATTTTTTTTTTTTTGTAATCGTTATTGTTTTTCCAGTGTGTAGGACCCGTAGTTTACCACCAATTAAAAGAAAAACTCAACGTAATTGACTAATTTTGGATACCGCTTGGGTGGTTAAGTCCAGATAGTCCCGACATGTCAATGCATATGACTCATTTGGATCAGAATTCTCCTGAACCTAACCAAAAGTTGTTGTCTTTGGTAAATACCAAAATATGGCTCTATAATACTGCATTGATATAAAGATGTTGGTATTTTCTGACACATTTAATATATCCAAGATGAAATCGATAAAGTTAGTTCCCGTGTATCTAACTTGAATCAATCGGTATTGAATTCTGCTGTAAATTCATCACAAATATGGTAAAAAGGACTGTGTCAATAATTAATTGTTATGAATTTTACAAAGACGATAATATTTCTGTAGAACTAATTGTTTCTACTGGTTACGATATTTAGATACGATTTTTTTCCGACGTGCTTTATGTTACATTTTTAACTCTACGAGAGTCTGTTTTATAAAACTCTTATTATAAATAATATACATACATGGTATATACCACGGTTATCTACACGTGTAGATAACCGTGGTATATACCTAGACTATAGTTGGGTCAAAGATCGAAATTCACCAATAAATTGTTATAATCGACCGCTGCTCAACGCTATATTATAGAGTGGAAAGTGTTTCTTTTGTTTCGCTATTAAAACAAAAGTGCTGTATCTTTTCAGCTATATAATACTATAGAATCGGATACGGAGAATATTTTTGCCGAAAGCGAAAATCGTGTAATTTGATTTAATCGTATTGCCCTGCGCACGATTACCGGGACGCTGCTCGCTCGATATTTAAATTGTAATATAATAAAATTATTATGCCGTTCAAATAATTGATGATTTGTCTAAAAAGTCAAGTTCTAAAATGTGATCATATTGTGTTAATGATTTATACACAATAATTAATACAATAATACCTACTTTTAGATTCTGAGCGGAGCGTTGAATGTTTTGATTTTACAATGATGTGTGTTTTTTTTTGTGTAGTAGTTAAATAATGCTTCGACTTTTAACTTCAGTATATTTTCCTATGGGAAAGTGAATCTAATTGGTGCATTAGGTAGGTAAAAATAACATCATTCATTATTAGTGACCCGCTTGTAACCTTAGATAGGTTACTGTAGAGCAGTCAGCAGACTGCAGACTGCCACTTACCCTACTTTTTTTAAAAATAATTCTATAATATATTACCTAAATAAATGTTTTTCAATATTTAAAATTATTACTGTAACATAAATAATATTGCTTTTAAAATCAATTTGTATCGTAATTAGGATTAACTACTGTTTGTTTACAAATATTCATTAATTTTCTAATTTATTATCGTATCTCTATATTATCTATATTATGCTTTTTACTATTTGATGTTAACATTTTATATTTATAGCTTCAGTTTCATATTTTACTTGTTGGATTTCGGTAATGTGTTGTAAGTTTACCTGAATATTATAAAACTGGATGTGTTAATTATAATAGCGATGTATTTTGCTGTAGAATACAGACACGTATGTAATTTATAAGTTTATATAAGTTTTCTATAATTTTTGTATTATTCTCAAACATACATATTCTTACAGTATTCTAAAATAACTTCTCTTAAGACTTGTGAACAAAACACACCTTTTGAAATTTCAGTTTGATAAAACATGAACTCAAATCAATGTGTTATATTATTATTATAGTATGTATATCGTATATAGGTAGGCTGTGTTCAATATATACCGTCAACGATAGACATGCATATGTATAATATAATATATATATTATACACACTCTCTCGCTCATATACACACCTAGGTATATGTTTGTATTTTTAAAAATCTAAAAAAAAAAATACAAACTAACGGTAAATCGTATTAAAAACCTTTTTTTCACTATTGTCGCGCGTTTGGTTTGTATATTATATTTGTTTTACGCGTTCAGGCGTATATAATATGGGGACTTCATTCGTGCTGCAGACTGTGCAGCAAAATGGCCTGCAATCCAATTGGCTTCTGTTTGTGTACGTTCGTTGCAGTGCCTATACCTGTGTATTTATTTGATAAAATCGTCGTGCTTTCGCACTGTAATAATTACACCTACCAGGCTTGCTTTATATGTGGGGCGGTGTTGGTGGGCGAGCGAGTTTCTAAGCGGTATTTGCTTCTTTAACGACAACGAATTGTAACAGAACACGACATTTTCACCCGATTCGCAGACGATATTATAACACCGTTAGCTATAGCAAACTTATTTTTTCTCGCAACCCTTTACAATGTTTTATATTTTGTTTGTTTCTATTATATTTTTACTGCAGTGCAGACTTTGTTATTTCTCTTTGTTTGTGTATATGTACAATAATAATAGGTGCCTATATGAAAACCAATAAATTCTACTTTTTCATGATACACCTATATTCATCAGCTTTTGTTCCGTGCTTTGATCTTTTATCGCCGTTAAATTGGAATACGTTTTATTTAGGCTTCCACATGGCTTAAAACAATATAATAATAATTTTTTACACTCTGTAGTTGCACTTTGTGAGTTAGCAAATTATATTCAAAAACGGGATTCTAATCAAACCTTGTGGTTTCCACTGAGAAAATAATTATCAAAAACGTGTTTGTGTGCCGTCTGTGTAGGTATAATCAGTGAATATTATTCATTTTGAAATATATTTGAACATTTTGGACATTTAGCCCATACGAAAATATTAAAATACTTTTTGTTAATTGTACCTTTTTAGAGTTTTTGAACCAATTTAAAAGTTTTCTCTTATTATCATAATAAATGAGAATATATTGTTCTAACATTAATTGAGTTTATGACGAATTAAATGCTCGGATTATTTGTAAAATATTGAATTAAATGTTCTTCGCACGTATCTCTCTATACACTACGTATATTTTCCATTGCATTTCCATTAAAAATACTCTTATATATTTTAACTTCTCGAGTATGCTGCAAAAATTTAAACTTTTTTTCTTACATGTACATAAAAAATTAATTTGATGTTTTTCTTATATCTGTGAGTGTATTACAAACCATCATCCCCGTTGAATATTTAATGTTATACTTTTGCATATGTGTGTGTTAATTTGAATTTTTAAATTAAACGTACCTATATTTGTCGCAATAGCATGAAAAAGATACATTTTAATATTTAATGTACCTGTATAATACTTTTTTGGTAGAATCCGTCTATTGGGGTACGTTTTATTGCAGTGCTAGGCTAGCCCATTTTCTATG